ATGCCTCGTACGAATATCAGACAAAGTAGGAACAGAGAAGAAATGGAATAGTTGTGACTTTTAATGAAGGGGTATTAAGAGTTTTAGTATTTTTTATTTTTTTTATAAATAGACATTCAAGTTATTTAGAAGGGTAAATATGTAATTTAACTTTTCACTTTTGAGGTTTTATTTTATATTAATGTAGATATAGATATAGATATAGAAATAGTTTTTAATATGCGCTAACATTTGTCAAAGAAATGGAATGATTAAAATATGGCATTTCTTATTAATCATTAATAATTTTTTTCAGAACGGAAGTACTATCATTTATCATCTATTAATGATAATAAAGAAGCATAATATAGTGTAGATATTAAAGAGACTATGTCTCTCCCGTACCTTAATTATGTACTTTTTAATTTAGGACTTTCCACTTTTATAAACAACTAAGCAAAATTATATATTTATGTATCAATCGCATCTCATAGACCCATAATGCTTTCTGAAGAGACCAATATCCATATTTAATCGAAAAGTGATTCTATGTTATGTTCTATAATTGGTAGATTAGACGCATAATATGTTGCCTTTTACTAATTTAGGGTGCTAATTTCACGTGCATCACTAACTTTTGACAATCAACAAAGGAATAACTTCCAAAAGTAGGTACTATTCCGTTTATAAATGACCACTGGACAAATTCCGAAAAAAGGAAACAAAGGGCAAACTGAATACATCCTGTCAAATTTGGTGTAAGACGCATTTAAATGATTTTATTAGGATTAGCAATTAAACTTTGGTGTGAGTAGCAATTAAACAAAGGGCAAACTTGATGTCTTCAATTACTCCGACTCTGATCATAGAATTTAAAAAAGAAAATGACAGATTTTAGAAAATTGTCATTTTAAACATAGCATGTGTTTGGTTATAAAAAAAATTTATTTACACGTAAAATTAAAAATTTATTTAAATTTGTCTAAATTTAAAAAATATAATTTTTCAAAATAGATTAAAAAGAAAATAGGGTCACATAAATTGAAACTGAAGAAGCATAGAAAAACTCGCTCATGAGTTTATTGAAAGGATTATTGTCTTATCATGAGTCGATGATTTCAACAAGGGCCTTCATGTTGGTAGCCTCGCTCAAGAAATTTTTGAGAACATTGAACGCCTACTTCGTTGACCATTCTGAAAGGTGAACCGAAGAGTTAAGGGACAATCTCATTAGCGGGAAAAAACCAATCAGTTTGAATTTTCGTGATCTTTGAAGTGCACCAATATGGTAGCTTGATATCAAAACCAAGTTGTAACCCTCCCAAACAACGAGCGGAAAAAAATGAAAGCGCTAAAATAAATAACACTATGCGGCCAAAACGAGACGATGCACCGGCAAAATAAAAAAAATTCATTTCAGAACGAGCAAAGCTGTGTAAAGTAGAATGATAGAAATTCAGAATTGAGTTCAAAACAATATCTGTATAAATCTATAAATATTCTGGACCTGATTTTTGTATATATTGAATTTATAGATATCTTCTTCCAATGGCACAAACGGATCGTGGTTTCTACGAGCCTGTATGCTATAATTTTTTTAATCAGGCACACAAAGCAGTAAAAAGTAGAATGACATAGGGTGTGTTTGGTATGAAGGAAAATATTTTTCACTTTTCCCATGTTTGGTTGGCTTAAATGTTTTGGAAAACATTTTCCTCATGACTCATTTTCCTCCAATTGGAGCAAAATGTTTTCCTTATCAAGAGAAGGGAAAACATTTTCCAAAAATCTTTATCAACCTTCTCCACCATCACCAACCCACCCCACTCCCTCTCCAAAAAAGGCTTTTTTTTTTTTTCAGTTTTTCCGTTACCACCCACCCTACTACCCCTCCACCCCACCCCACCCACCCCCCATCCCCCACCGCAAAAAAAATTATTTTTTTTTAACCTGAATTTTTTTTTTTGGCAATTTTAAATTTCTATTTTTTCGTTTTTCTGCACCACCCACCTCAACCCCTGCACAAAAAAAAATTTTACTTTTTTTTTGTAATATAAA